CCCCCCCAAAAAAAAAAAAAAAAACTACGGGCCTGTGTAGTGACAAAATATAACACAATACAATATGCTATGATACACTGTAAGCAATGATACTCTGATTGTTACACAGTTGATTTTGTCTACAGGTAAATATTATCTAAAGATTGGACATGGTGCTAACTTCAACACTGTACACAACACAGAGAAAGAAGTAGCAGACTGGTTTTGCACTGAGGGACACGCGTCAGCACATAAACCACTTTTAGATATGTTTGATATCGTCGAAGGTATGTAGTTCATTTCCTTCAAGTTTTATGAATTAATGTGAATTTGAGTATATGTAAAGTTTCACTTATCAAGTATGCATGTCTGATGACACTAATATCACAACTATTAACTCAATGCAAAACCGCATTTAACAAGGTGATTATGATACATTGCATATCAATTAAGTAAATTTACATACTTATTGACTACTGTGCATGTATTTTATCTAATATAGATAACTTTTAACTATCATGCATATTCATTATCTAATATACATGCTTATGTGATAAGTGTATATTCATATTCATTGACTAATTACTACCATATTTGGGTTAGTATGATTAACTATCATAAATGTTAACAAGTTTGCATTCAGATTACCAAATATTCATAACTATTATTCACACTGATTAGCTAATATGCATATTACCTACAAAAAATGCATACTCATTTGTTTGTATGCATACTAATTACCTAAACATTTGAATTTCCTTGACTGGCCATGTGTACTGTTGTCGCATACGACTTATTTACCACTTCTGTGTAACTGAGAATGTTCTAGAACCGTACTGTGTCTGGGTGGAATATTCTAGATTTTTTTAGAAACTGGTTGAATAGGTAATAGAACACTGTAGGAGGCAATAGAAGGTAATGGAACATTCTAGAAATTTATAGTAAGTGCCAGACTCATTATGTATGCTGATGTAATGGTCTATTTATAGACAGTGGAGGTATATATAAAAGAGTTGTTTAGCACTGAGTTCAGATCGGAGATCTCGTTGAATTGTATTGGAGTTTAAGTATCTAGTTATTGGAGTAGTGGAGTTTTACCGCGTTATTGTACTTGATGTTTGCAGAGTATAATAATACCAGTACCAGTTGAAACCTCATCTGTTGGCTCCGTGTTCGTATGTTATCATCGCCGCCAGGGAAGTCTTTATGTTACTGTTGCCATTTTGGTATTTGAACCATCACACCTGTACTATACCAATTACGGTAATATTACGTTGCGTGTGACAACTGTGATATGGTGACACCTACACTGGGAGTGGCAGCTGGTCGTAATAGATATGGTGCTAGTGCAGCTGGTGAGATTGGGAATATGGCAGCACGGATGATAATTGCTGGGTAATGGGATCACGATTTGTCTCCTGATAGTTTTAGAGTAAATTTCAAAAATAAACCGGTTCATTGTTGTGATTTGAAAAACATGTGATTGGGAGTGGTCGATCATTTATATATTTGATTCGCTGCGAATAGTACTACAATATATGTTACTTAAAATTATATGCTATTTATGCATGAACGCAATAGTTCATTTGATTTTGAATGTTGGACAATCTAGCTTTGATCACAAATATCGCATTTGATTAAAGATTGGTGCTATTACAGATAAACGTATACGTACATACTGGCAAGATTATAATTTCAATACAGTTTGATTTACTGATGTTTTTACAAAGTATATTACATGCGCCACCAAGAACCTGGAGACCAAATCTGAATTCAGTGTACCAACCGAGTGTCGTAACTTCCCTGGAGTAGCTTTGAGTGACCGAGTGCAACCAAGATCATTGTTTACGTCCAAGGATCCAGGCCCGTAGCCAGCTCTTTTGAATAGGGGGTTCGAAAACAACAATTATATATTTGATGTGAAATGTGTGAATTTTATAATATTCAAAAAGTGTTTTTGAGCTCTGTTACAGATATTTTTATATTATCGATTCTAAATTCAATTGGTTTACTTTTGCGTTACATTGGTAAGATATTTCACATAACATCTTTGGACTATTTTACCATTTTAGAGAAGGGGTCCTGAGCCATTCC